AGTGGTTCACGGTAACGTCACGTTTCTTGCGTTTTTTTCCCCCTCCACCGCAAGCTACGAGGGTAAAGAAAAAACTTCTTGCAATGGCACGAACGAGGAGGAACAAAGTGCGCGAAAAGGCTCGCAACGACCTGTGATCTCACAAAAAGTTTCTGCATGGGGTATTTCCAAATGCCCGTTCTATAAAATATTTTGTGAGGCCTGCTTCAGTGGAGAAGTACACTCCAGAAAAAGTTTGCGAGTTCACTTTGGGACAACGAGCATATATGTTTCACTTGCCCCTTTTCCTACGCGCATCGCATTTCCTTGATCTAATCGTATTCCGAGCTCTGTGATTCGTTGGGATCCTTCCATTGTTCGCCGCGACTGGCTGAATCCCTTTTCTACAGGAAAGTGAACGTACACCTCTTTACAGCGGAAGTGTTAAGGTCTGGTTTCCCCAGTTTCGTGTCCGGTACCAAACAAATGTCGACACAAAACTACACAAAACTCTGGACAGCTACCGCCATCTATGAGCGACGGCGGCAACCAGACTACCAGTCTGGAATGGTTGCCGCCGTCGCTCATAGATGGCGGCAACCATTCCAGCTATCATTAGGCAGCATCGCCGCGCACTTCAAACAGGGTCAAGCCACGAGCTAGTTGAAAAGTTGAGGCTTTAGCACGAACAGAAACGCATCACAAAAGAGCTGATGCAGCAGAAGATAGCTGCTGCTGATGTAGACACGATGAGGGACATTCGCTCAAGCGGGAGAGATGCGCCCAGAAAGTTCTGGAGGTACCTTGGAACCCTGGACGGAAGTGATCAAACCACAACTATCGTTGACGAGTGCACTGGCTTAGAGGTGATGGCTCTGGACCATTTCTAACCTGACGGAACATCTCATTGCGGTGTTTGCGCCACGAGGAACGGAACTCCACCAAAATACCACCCCACAATATCACTCGGAATGTGATCTCGCAAGTACCGACAATAAGATCGGTCTTGTCATAGTTGTTCGAGCGTTGAACCACATCAACAGCAGCACGGCACAAGGCTTGGATGGAATCCCCGCACGTATACTCAAAACACTCGGGAAAGATGTCAAAGACCAGCTGGCTGAGATATTCACAGATGTCCTTACCGGTGAAGCAGATGTCCCCCGACACTGGCGACAAGGGAAGGTAGTCCTTGTTCCGAAGAAAGGAGTGGATAACCGGTTGCTGCGGAACTACAGGCCACTTACAGTCATCAGCACCGTGTGCATGGTTTTCGCGACCACAGTGAAAGAACGCCTGACAACTTGGGCAGAAGGAAAGGAAATCCACACCGAGCTTCAAGGAGGATTTCGTCGTGGCAGGCGTCTTGAATTAAGACAACGTGTACACCCTCACCCAGTGTATCCAGGTGTCCCGCAAAGAGGAGAGACGATTAATTGGCTGTTCGCTGGACTTGGCAAAGACGTATGATAACGTCCCACATGACCAGCTCTTAACAAGATTGGAGCAGCTTGATATGCCGCCTCAGTGGACCGAACTCATTCGTCGGCTATACACTAAAAACACACATTGGAAAGTCCACTTCAGATGAGGCAACGGCGCGGGGACTGCGGCAGGGTTGTCCGCTCTCACCGCTCCTGTATATGTCGTATATGTACGTTGCACCCATGGAGGAGCGGTTGATCCGATCAGGATTGGGCACAATGTCGCAGACGACATTGTGCCCACAGCTGGTTATGTGAAAATTAGGCAGCAACCACTCGATATATGCGCTGATGAGGCTGCAGTGCTCGGTCTTCAGTACAACACTACGAAGTCCATAGCGGTACAGTTCGCCGGCATGGAGGAAATGAGGATCGAAAGCCTTAAGTTGGGTGTGGACGACATACCGGTTCTTAACATGTACAGGTACCTGAGAGGTACCCTCTCAAACGAGGTGGACTATCTGAAAGAGCATCACACCGACCTTCGACTGCCGCTATGCGGGGAGCAGCATCCTCCGCATCCTTCATGGTGAGCCGGGAGTTGTGAAAGGCCCTGGTAGTGCCCGGTTTGTCGTTTCCACTGCAGTGGTGTGCGGGTAAAGTGAGAACCGCCTTGGAGCGCAGACAGCGAGAGGTGGGGCGCCAGGCACTGGGCTGCCATGGGACGGTGGCTTACGAGGCGGTGCAAGGTGAACTCTGCTGGTCATCGCTCGAGGCACGGGAGGCAACCAGTAAGGTTGGGTACGACGGGAGACTTCGGCACATGTACCGCTGCCGCTGGGCGAAGAGGTCGTTCGTGTACACCCACCTATCTTCCGTGCGGACCCGGTGGCAAAAGCGTCTTTACCAACTGGAGAAAAAGTTCGGCTTTTTAAGAGCACCGGTGGAGGTGACCACGGGGAAAGAATGAGAGTCCGAAATGCGAAAGAGGGTACGGGAGCAGGAGACCGTCCAGTGACGTGCAGCAACACAAACTAAGTCAACGCTGACAACGTACGCCTCCGAAGAACAGCAAATACCACATGTAGAGACGCAGCTATAAGATAACAGCTTCGGAAGCTGTCTGATGTTCGAGGCACGTGTGGGTGCTCTTCGAAAGCTTGTCTACAGGCAACGGTTCGACACTACCGTAACGTCCACTCTATGCCAAGTGTGTCAGGCGAATTAGGAAACAATAGAGCACCTCATACTCGAGTGCAAGGGCATACTGCCAACCTCTGCAGGAGAGTTGGCCCCACTTCTTGGGACGGCGCGACTTCTAGCGACGGCACTGGGCTTTATGACAACGCAAGAAAACCAGCATCCACCTACCGGAGCAAACTCTATAGTGGTCGCGCCAGCGTCAACGTGGTCTCGCGGATTGCTATTTAACGGACTAAGAGACGCTTAGAAGATTGGTGGAGAAAAATCCATCACAGATGACACTAACCAAAATTCACTGTGACACCTACAACAAACTTCGCACCCGCCCGATACAAAGGGAAGAGCTGCAAGTTCATCATCATGATCACAGAAGAATGGATAGTTGGGCGAGTTGGTGGGAATTCATCGTAGGAAACAGCGCGCAAAACAGACGAGGACGAAGAAGAAACACACGGGACGAGCTTACAGCTTCGCTGGTTTTCCTTCTTCACCGAAGTGAAAAAGCTGAAAGCTTTTTTTTTTTTTTTTTTTTTTTTAGAGTGCGCGCTGGGGTACAGTTCTACAATGGTCCCGTTTGTTTTGTCTAAGGCAGAATCTTGATTTTCAAAAAAAAAAAGAAAAAAGAAAAAGAAAAACACTTGGATGGAGGGGCTCTTTAATTTCGAGCTCGGTATATCAATTTATCTACGAAAAAAAAAAAAAAAAACATTGACGGGAAAATTTTGTTTTGGATATTCGCTCTCCGGTCCGACCACCTCAACGAAAGCAACTTAACGCAACTTGGCGTCTCCTGGAGCGCGCGTTGTTTTCAGAGACTGTTACACTTAGCAGGGGGGTGGCCGGGACACGAACGGGGAACTCAAATCACCTACGGCCATTTTTATATACGTTACTCGGTAAAAGCAATTGATTACAATGAATCTTGGCTGAAAAGTATTCAATTCGATGACTCGATTACTTCAGAAGGAAAGTTATTGGCCGTTATTTGAAGAAGGAAGCGTTATGTCTCCGATTACTTGAGATTTCCGAAACCGCAGGTTCTTCTGCCGGTTTGAAAAAGGGGTCTTTTGTAAGGTATATCATTGGATTAGAATCACCAAACTATAAAATACTTATCTTCTTAATCCCTCAATTTCGGTAAACCATCCTCCTCTCAGAGACTTGGTTCCAAGATTCTTTCGTAGGAAACTTGTGCCATAAAAGGACGCCATAAGGAAGGAGGGGGGGGGGGGGGGGGGGGTAGTATTGGTTACAAGTAATTTTAGTACTTCCAAAGGTTATCAGATTCAGTCTTGTACGTAATCCGTTACAAGTAACGAAATTACCTGTAATCCGTTATATTTATCAGTAATTTTGTAAGGAAATATTTACACATTTTACAAAGTAAATTTCCTTACACTCTAAGAAATGCCTGCGCGTCTACTTACCCGCAAAACACTCGAAGAGCCAATCTCTGCGATCTACGAAATCAGCTCAGCGAATGATGAGGCGGAACATCCGTTTAGACCTCGAAATTAAGTTTGCGCTGTGGCATTCCGCAATGTAAGCCGGACGCTTTTAATGGCACAATGCCTCAGCGCAGGCTTCATTTTGAGATCTAAACGGATTTTGCGTCTCACCATTCGCTGAGCTGATTTTGTAGATCGCAGAGATTGGCTCTTCGAGTTTTTCGCGGGTAGGTCGAAGCGCAGGCATGTCATAGAGTGTAATTATTTACCCACTTTAAACAGAGCACGTGCGTCTACTTTCCCGCACAACACTCCGGGAGCCAATCACAGCAACTTACGGAGGCAGCTCAGCGAATGACGAGGTCGAAACATATGTTTAGACCAAAAAACGCAGTCTGAGTTGTGACATTAAATGCAAGCGTGACGTTTTGCATCGCTTAATGCGAAACGTCACGCTTGCATTTAATGTAAGCGTGCGCGCCCAAGCACGCGCGCCCCACATTTATTTTTCTCAAATTTAACTATTTTTTGTTTTGTAGCGTGTATGAATTTAGAATAAAACGACCCGTAACGCAATAAAGTTCTAAGTTTGCGTACAAATTCTGCTGTTTCCTCTGGATCTCTGAGGTCAGAGTCTGGCGTAGCGTCATTTTGGGAGTCGTAACTTAGAACCCGCGACACTCGCAACGGGGGAGTGAGCGAAGGAACGCAGGTTCGCTTTCGTTACGCGTTTGAAGTAATGCGCGCAACGCGTTCTAGAGGAGGAGCGGCAACAGCCGCCGCGCGTACAAACCGCGCGGAAAGGAAGAGGCTGTACCCTCCTCGTAACGTCCACGGAGCCGCATCACGGCACGCGCGCTTGCCCGTGGGGCTCCGTCCGCCAGGGCGGAGCGGCTGTCGCCCAGACGCTTGGTCACGTGCCTCACGCGCCGGCAGCAGCAGTCTCCGTCAGTCGCTCGTACGCATGCTGGCGGGAGCGCGCGTGTCGGTCCGGGAGTTCGTCGAGCCGCTCCATCTCCGAGATCTGCCTGTCGAGGTAAGCTGCCTGCGGCTGTTGCGTTGCGTCGGGGGGAGCGCTGCTGCGTCGTCACCATTGGAAGTGCACCGTTTCATATTCTAGCGAGAGAAGTGCACGTAGTTTTGGGACCCGGCTCGGGTGAAATGTGGATGAGCCAAATGTGAACCCGCGCGACGTGGAGACGCTACACACGCGCCCTGCACTAACACGGGATCACGTCTGACTCTGCTTTGCCCCCCGCCCCCCCCCCCCCCCCCCTTTTTTTTTCTTCTTTTAAATTTGAGTTTACTCACCTATATTCTATGATTTTTTCTGAGTTCTCCCGTTTATTCTGCAGTCTCGTACTTGATGCGTTCGGCGCGTGCTTTGTGGCGAAGTCATGATTCTCGCACGCCGAGCGGCTGCTTTTTGTAAAGCGTGGAATCAGCTGTGCGCCGAAACGGGCGCCGAACCCACACGCCGGTACACAACGCGTCGCGTTTTCTGGGGCTTTTCGTTTTTGGCGCCCAACTTTGGGGCGATGAATGTAGCGATCGGCCGATCGCCCTCCGAAATGCATTCGGTTGTCGGAGGGGAATGTCGCTCCTTGTGGTCAGCCTTCTGGCAAGATGTATCGCGGAATTATGCTCCCTTCGGGAAAAGTTGACAAACTGGTGTCGACGCCTCGGCTGACCTTGTCGCGTTATGTTGACGCCCCGTCAATCGTATTTAGATTTTTTTTTTTTCTTTCTTTGCTTGGAACCGCCGTCTTTGGTTGCTCTCGTGCACACGGGTTGCTTGGGGATGAAAAATAAAGTAGCGTTTGTTTACTGCTTGCTGTCAGAAAGCATGCTGTTAAATTACTCAGTTTCGAGACACGTATATTCGTTGAAGTGTAACGTTACATACATTAATTTATGATTAAACGTCATGGCTGCTGTACTTTTTTTTTTTTTTCAATGTTGTCGAGACATGTTTTTTTTTTTTTTTTTCTGCCTGTGCGGATAGTGAATCACCGCCTCTCCACAGGTGTCGATTATTAACTGCTATCTGAGCCGTTATGTTTCTATTTTCTTTCTTTTGCTTATGATTCATTAATCTGCCACTTCATCGAGCATGGTAGTGATAGCTTGGGGAAAAATTTTTCTAATAGAAATCCGATGACTGCTTAAATGCAAACAGTTACGAGCGGCGATCATGATTATAAATGTATTCAAAAGACACCCTCGATTCCTCCACGAACGTCTCAAGGAACGGTTGGAAAAAAAAAAAAAGTCAAAATAGTACCCGGTTACTCCGCCTGATTCCTGTCATTTGGCTGTCTGAAACCCTTTAGCCCGCGGGAGCTTCAGCCTAAGAAAGTCTCGTCTAATTAATCCATTTTCCCGTTCATGAAAACAAGTGAGGGTAGTTGGTAGTCGTAGGTCCCTGTCGTTCAAGTCCGGCCTCCCGTGTTCATCCGAGTCCCGGCGCGTCTGACGCCCGTGCTGACGTGCCTCTCGGGGATGCGTGTTCGAGCGGAAGGCGGTTCGGAAATAGCAACGGGACATCCGCGATGCGTCTTCTTCCATTCCGGGTCGCTAATCCGACGCGGAGCTGGAAACGGGAACTTTCGGGGAGCAGGGTCCGGGCAATACGCTCTTGGCGCGCTGCGTGCGTCCAGGCCGCCGTGCCGCCGCCCAGACGCCCCTCAATCAACGCGAAAATCGCAGACAGAACGCCGAGAAAAAACACACACACACACACACAAAAAAAAAAAAGCGAAAACGCGCGTGTCAAGTTCACTCTAAATGGCGAAAGAGGAGCGAAACAAATTGAGCAGTCTTGAGTTAATGCAAAGTAGAGTCCCAGCGACTCCTGCGACACCGTCACGGCGGAGTCGTTGGGCATCGGCGTCGCGTTCACGCACTGTGGGGTGCGCGAACAAAAGCGTTCGGAACAAAAGTTCTGTTCCCGGCACGAGCTCTTGGCATTAACGCTGCTACGACAGCATCTTTTTTTTTTTTTTTTTTAATCGGCTAGTGTTATATTTAGAGAGCGCGTGCAGTGGGCATTGTATTGTACAAAAGACTCAAAGCGTTGAACGGGTGATCAACGCTGTGGCAAAGCTCAGTGGTAGCGTCTCCGCTTCGCACGCAGCCGACCCATGGTTCGATTCCCGCGGGCGGCGGGCGATCTCTTTTCCGATTTACAATATCACTACTAAAACAGCAACTACGACAACGTAAATGACTATAATGCAATGAAATGCAAAGGTGCAAGCGAGCTGGACAAGAATGACGAAAATAATCCCTGGAGAAAGGGAACAAGGGGGACAGAGGACAAACACAAATCTCCAAACACAGCTAGGTGACTGCTAGGTGACTGGTGCGCGTCCTCTGTCCCCCTTGTTCCCTTTCTCCAGGGATTATTTTCGTCATTCTTGTCCAGCTCGCTTGCACCTTTGCATTTAATTGCATTATAGTCATAACCTTAAATTTCAAGCTTCACCCTTGTTGGTGTTAGACTGGTGGCGGCTGATAAAACCCGTTTGCTCTACTGATGTCTAACCCCTGGTTAGCTCAATTGGTAGAGCGCTCCACCTGTAATGGAGAGGTCCCGGGTTCGATACCCGGACCAGGCGGATTTTTTCGGTCGCGCACCAGTCACCTAGCTGTGTTTGGAGATTTGTGTTTGTCCTCTGTCCCCCTTGTTCCCTTTCTCCAGGGATTATTTTCGTCACTCTTGTCCAGCTCGCTTGCACCTTTGCATTTAATTGCATTATAGTCATAACCTTAAATTTCAAGCTTCACCCTTGTTGGTGTTAGACTGGTGGCGGCTGATAAAACCCGTTTGCTCTACTGATGTCTAACCCCTGGTTAGCTCAATTGGTAGAGCGCTCCACCTGTAATGGAGAGGTCCCGGGTTCGATACCCGGACCAGGCGGATTTTTTCGGTCGCGCACCAGTCACCTAGCTGTGTTTGGAGATTTGTGTTTGTCCTCTGTCCCCCTTGTTCCCTTTCTCCAGGGATTATTTTCGTCAACGTAAATGGTCTGCATGACTGCACGCGTCTGCAATCAGTACCTCTGCAGAAGTCCTCTTGGAACCGGACAAAGCGTTCATTCCTCCAAGTCGTCGCATTCACACCGGCTATGCAAGCAGTCGCGCGATGCGACTAAATCGCATCGCAAAAAAAAAAAAAATAAAAAATAAAAATAGATGGTCACACTGGAGTGCGCGATGAGCGAGTCCAGCGCCTTCGTTGGCGAGTCGCTTTTCGAAAACTCTCGCTTCAAACGCCGTTGATTGGCTCAGCCTCTCCGCGACTAGATCGCATCGCAAAAGGTCGGGAGAGCAAGCGACTGCTCAAATCGCGTCGTTTTTTGTCCGTGATGGTCGCTTTTGCGATGAAAGTTATCGCGCGATTAGATCGCATCGCCGGTGTGAATGCGCCTTCATTGATTGCACACGTACATCAATGGAAGCGATGTGTTTTCGGCTGCTGTTTGAATGTGGCGCCGCAGCCTGCGCGTAATCAACCATTGATCATTTTTGAGTCGTTCGCGAGTTCCAAATCGGGCAGTAGTTTGGTGAGAAAGTCCCACCAACGTACAGGTAGCGAGAGAGAGGTCTCGCGGCCTCTTATTTGCTTCTCCTTGTATACTCCTTCATCCATCGCTCGATGTCAGCTTCTGTACGGCAGCAGAACTTGAGCTTTGTAACAGAGTCGCGGGTTGTCAATTGCTTCCAACGTGGAATAGCAGACGATCGCAATTTCAGCCCGCGTCCGATCTCACTTCACCGCGCTGCTCGCTTCGTAGCACACTGTCGACTTTTCTTCCGCTCTGGTAGCCGAAGACGCACGGTGTTCTCTTGTTTTATTTACGTCTGCGAATTGTGCTAAACGAACCGCGTTCTTCGCTCGCTCCGCAAGAGGTGAATTAGATGTCGCTCTCGATGTGACCCAAAATCGGACCCATGCAGCTCTTCTCGACTACGGTAGTTGTACCTAAGACTGACGTCTCTGCTATGGAGTTTGCGTGGTTTTAATATCGTCCCCTGCGTGCAGGGAGCCCCAATGACTGGCGCCACGATTATGGCGGGTGCAACTAGGACACGCACTGAGCGTGTATCGGTGGACGTTTCACGCAAAGCGGGGGGATTATCGCGCGCGCGCGTATGTGTGCGTTTCAAGCTGTACTGTGACGGAAGAGCGAGAGAGAAAATTGAAATCGCAAAAAGCTGTAGTTTCGTCCCTTTCGAGTTGAGGAACACAGCTTGTACAGTTGCAGTCGAGATCTACTACCCTCTTTTTCCGCAACCTATATTCGCTTTTTTCCCCCACATGCGCTCGGCTGTGTTTTCGTTGAACAGACCGTTTTTGTACAGTCACAGTTTGACCGCGAGCAGTCGTTGGTGTGTGTCTGGAATCGGAGCGCAACTTGAAATACGCTCGACACATTCCTTCCTAAAACTTCTCTCTCTGCGTCACTGCCCGCCGCTGTGTAGGAATTTTTCCCGCAGCAGTTAGATTTCAATGGAAGATGTGAATAAGCAGGGTGTTAGTGTTTTTTTTTTTTCGTATTTCTTCGTTAAGCAAAAAACGGTAGCCTGTTTGTATAACCGTTGCCACTATTGTCCGACCTTTCTTTAGCGGACATTAGGAAGTTTTAGTACATGGTTTTGATAACTACAATAACAATACCCGTTTTTTTTTGTTTTTTTTTTATTTAGGCACATGATTTAGGGTAGCACGGCAAAAAACAGATTTGATTTTCCTGACTCAAGGGACAAGAGGAAACGCAAAAAAAAAAAAACAGTAAAAAACGATCCGTAACAAAAATGCAAACACATATCATGTAAAATGGTCACTGAAAACAATTGTGCGGGATCACCTATACAAAAATGAAGCATGGGGTACATTCTAGCAATCAAGACCAATTAAAGGCACGTTAAAAAAAGAATTATTCCATGGGACATAGTAAACGAAAGCATAATGATTAAAAAGCGCGACAGGACAACGGACACAGAATGAGACACTCGTCAAAAGAAAGCACT